CCCTGTCGCTCAGCCATGCACCTCTAGATCACGCCTGCTCCACCTGATGAACCTTGCAAGGCTCATTTTGAACAAAAACTAGGGTTTTGTAAAAATTACTACTGACGACGTGCAACAGTGAGGACTGCAGCACACACATCACACTTAGTGAGGTTGGGTTTTGTTGTTTTCTCCTTTACATTCTCCATTAACCCCGAAGGGGACTGCAGTCATTTTTAGATACCCAAACCAGAACTGACCTGGGTGTCTTGTCTTTAGCTCTAGAGCAGGCACGAGGCCACAGATTTATCTCAAAAACACCAGTGGTGTTTCAGCTGAACCGGTCATAAGGTTTGTTTCAGAACAAACACCTCTGGCTTTTTCAGATGGGCTGCTAAAAGAGACCATTTTCAGGCACTCTGCAGACTCTGGAAGACATTGACCTTTCTTTCCTTGGACTCAATTCACATTTTTCACTTCACGGCCATGTGGGATTATTATCTGTAATTGAAAGTAAAAGTGTAGATTTTGCACGAGAACTCAATTATATGGCAAATTCTGTGGCTGAGGAACCGGAGAATATATTCTTATTAAACGTTATTTCTGAAATGAATGTTAATTAAAGAAGGCTGAAGATGCAGGCTGGCTGGCTGAAGACAAACAGAACCATCTCAGACCGTTGCAATGACAATGTTTCCCCCAGCGGAGACAGAACGGATGGCTAGTCTTACTCAGATTGCATCTCTTGAGAGGACGATTTATAACGTACAAGACAGGAGAAATTTATTTGCTAACATATGGAAAACATTTATGGGCTCTACTGGGGATCTGGAATTAAAGAAACACAACTACATATTGTTAAAACTTCTAAATGGAGATTTCATTTTAGAAATAAGCATTTTTTCCCCTCAAGTCAGCGACATTTATTTCTATATTCTTCTGCTTTCTGCCCTGTCAGGTATCAGTTTCAGAACAGGGGGTTGGATCGATTCATCCAGCTGCTGTAGGTCTAATCCACGGGAAAAATATTAGATGGCAAAGTCTTGTTTTTAAAGATGTAACCCACGCTTTGGAACGATGGATGCGGAGCAAACACCCTCGGGATGGGGCAAGGTAGTGTAGGGTGCTGCACCTGGGGAGGAATAACCCCCTGCACCAGGACAGGTTGGGGCTGACCTGCTGGAGAGCAGCTCTGAGGAGAAAGACCAAGGAGTCCTGGTGGACAACAGGATGACCATGAGCCAGCAATGGGCCCTTGTGGCCAAGAAGGCCAATGGCATCCTGGGGGGCATCAGGAAGAGTGTGACCAGCAGGTTGAGAGAGGTCATCCTCCTCTACTCTGCCCTGGGGAGGCCCCATCTGGAGCACTGGGTCCAGTTCTGGGCTCCCCAGTTCCAGAAGGACAGGGAACTGCTGGAGAGGGGACAGCAGAGGGCTACAGAGATGATGAGGGGCCTGGAGCATCTCCCTTACGAGGAGGGGCTGAGGGACTTGGGTCTTTTTAGTCTGGAGAGGAGAAGGCTGAGGGGAGATCTGATCAATGCTTAGAACTACTTGAAGGGTAGGTGTCAAAAGGATGGGGCCGGTCTTTTTTCAGTGGTGCTCAGGGACAGGACAAGAGGAAATGGGCACAAACTTGAAGATAAGAAGTTCCACCTAAACATGAGGAGGTTTCCTGTGAGGGTGGCAGAGCCCTGGAAGAGGCTGCCCAGGGAGGTGGTGGAGTCTCTTTCTCTGGAGACATTCAAAACCCACCTGGACACACGTTCCTGTGGGATCTGCTCTGGGTGGACCTGCTCTGGCAGGGGGTTGGACTAGATGATCTCTAGAGGTCCCTTCCAACCCCATGTGATTCTGTACAACTGCCCAAGTTATCATCTGGGCACCCCAAATTACAATAATGGGAGGAGATCAGGCTACCGACACCAGGGATGCTTTCCAAGCCAATGTTCCTGCAGCCACAGCTGTGTATAATTCACCCCCTTACACACAAAAATCCCCACCTTCTGGTACACGAAAATGATTCTCCATTAAGCCACACAAGACCACAACCTGAGGAAGAGCTCTGCCTCTGGGGCAAACCTTCTCTTCCCTGTGTAAGTAACTTGCTGGATGCCTGGAAGGGTTGCGTGCTGGCTGATGAATAAACGAAATGGATGATGTATGAGTTACACGTGCAAAAAAATGCACAAATTCATCATCCCACGGAGCGGTACTGAAGCTAACAGGATCAGGGACAGCATAAAAACCTCGTGTCAACCAGTATCCAACATCCATATCAGGGTGGGTGCTTACATGTGATGAGAGTGGCTGTTTTAAAGCCGGTACCATGACATTGGTGCAAACATCAGTGCTGACACGCAAGGTAGAGCTGGGGTGGCCATCTGTAAAGCTGCATAAGGAATGTCAAGTTTCAGACCACTGCGGTTGAACAGATTGAAACGTCTTCCAAGGAGGGGCAGGACCTCAGGCCAAATAGCTGAGGCCAAGAGCGACGGCTGGGATTTTCAGAGATGGGTAAATGACTGCTTAAATGACTCAATCATGCAGATGCTTCTGAAAATTCTGCCGCACGCAGTGAAGTTTATTCATGCATGTGTGGGAGAGGGGGAGGACTGTGAAGATTTTAATAACTACCTTAGGAAATAAAAAAGAACAAATGTACTTTCTCTTTAAAACAGAGGAAAAAAAAACCACCCCAAACTCAACAAAACCACCGCTGCGGCTGGGGAAAGGAGTTTACAGGGAAGTTGTAAAGAAGGTTTGTGTGCAAGGCTGACCAAATGGACTATGATACGCAAGTCGAAGAATTGCAAAGAAAGAATGAAACAGAAGGGTAAAAATAAAACGCATCACAGACCTATCAATTTCTTCCAGTCTAAAACACCTCCATGCTTCAGGCTTATGCAGACTTCATACTCCACCATCACCCACCAGATAAATGGGAAGTCGAGAGCTTCAAAGAGCTTAAGGACTGCAGGAAAAGGACAAACTCCATCCTAGGAAGGCCGAGAAGAAATATTCAGGGGAAAAAAAGATGCTCCTAAAGCCTGTTTTTTTTTGGAGTGTGACAACACACCTGCCCTGATGTGACAGCTTGACCAAAGGCACCATGGCAGCTTCCACCATCGCTGGAGTCCCTCTCACTGCTCTGGAGGTCCCGCAACATGCAGAGAGAATTTCTGAGCAGGGGACAACCTGTGAGGACGTCCCCCTGTATCCCAACAAGGCGTCAACTGCAGCTGAGGTTTTCCCCCCTGCTGATGCCATCAAGTAGCTTGGTTTCTCCTCCTCCTCCAAGCATCCTACCCTTAAATATCTGCACAGCAGGGGAGGGGGGGGAGTTATCTGTCACCTCCCTGGGGTCAAGGAGGGGGGAAAATCACACTTTTGGCTCTTCACTTTGAATGCAGGAGATTGAGTGATTCTTATGCAGCCAAGCACCCTTCATTCAACTTTCCCAAGGTAAAGCAACACCTACTTAAAGGCAACGACTTCTTCCTCCCAGTAAAAAAACCACCCTGCAAGTTCAAAAATCAACACTCACGTCACAAAATTGAGAACGCGGGGAAACACAGGAGCCCTCCCAGGCCCCCTAAAATGTCAGCCAGGTGGATTTTAGCAAAAAATAACCCTTTCCGTTTTCCAAAGACTCCTTTTCACTGCTTGAACTGCCAAGCCTTTCCACCTTTAGCCCAGCGAGAGCTGGCACACGCTCGCCCAAGGCACGGACGTTTCGACGGTCGTCCGTCCCCTTTCTGAAGAGCACAGCAGAGTGGCACCCAGCTGGTGAATTTGGGGACAAAACAACACAAATCCCCAAGTGGGTGCCTCCCCCTCCTCTCCCCCAATCCTGTCCCATCCCAGCGCCCATAAATCTCTCCTGGCAGGTAGTTGGGAAGCAGCTGCTAATGATAGTTTTGCTGCAGGAAGTCACCTTTTAACCCCCGCCTGCTGTTGTTTGTCTCCCGGAGCCCGTGACAAAAGGACAGATGCGGCCAACGTGCCAATCGTGGGGAGGATCTGGTCAAAAAGCAGCAGGGAACATGCCCTTGTCCTCACACCAGTCAAACAGCACCCTCAAAAACACTTGGGGTCTTTGGGTGCTTCCCCCCATGGGTGCCCGTTTTCAAATGGCGCGATGCCGGTCCTCAGTTTGCCCTCCTTAACCCTAAAGATGCAGGGAAGCATCCCAAAGATGGCTTTAATTGTGTTTGTTGCTGAGGACGTCCCACCTTCCACCCCCCTGGGCGAGGAAAGCATTTATAACACAACTAACGCATGTACGCAGGGAGCCGCCATCGGAGCCACGCAAATAAATTAAATACCACGAAATATTAGTTGCGAGCATCTTCTTTTCAGTCCACGGAGTATCTGTGATCAGATTACAATTTGATCTGACATAATTGTTATTATTTTTTTTTTTTGCTTTAAAAGCGTGCATGGATAAGGGGGACAGGAGCTGCCTCTGCTTCAGGAAAGCTCCGGAATGCATTTTAGATGTTACCACAAATTAAATACCAACAACTCATTCTTCTTGAAGTCCCCACCGGTGAGGTGACAGCATGCTACTGTGCCGTCATGCACAGGTGAAACACTTGTGAAGTTGGCTTTTGTTAACAACTGCAACTCAAAACCTTAATCCCTTCAGCCTGCACCTGAGCAGCAGCCACCCACTTGAGCGTGTGGGAAGTTTCTCAAGGAAGAGAGAGAGAGAGAAGTATTCAGGTGTGTGCACCACTCAGACCAAGCCACAGGAAATCTGAGAGTTATTATTCCCTCACTTCTAGCCCTGACAACATCTGCTCGGCCGTGCTTTTCACGTGGCGACGGGAAGCCAAGAGAAAGCCAAGGCTTCACCTTCTGTGGAGCGCATACTTCCATCAAATAAAACACACCCGCTGGCCAAACAGGATGAGGGCTGGAAGCCAACCCCGAGGCATAAAACAGAAAAACCTTTTCCAACCTGACCACGTAAACTGGAGTATAAAGGAGAACAACCTGGGCTGAGATGTACTTACTGTGAAGACATCATCATCGCCAACCTCGGCCTCGTTGTGAAGCGTTGAGGAGGAAGTTGTAGACCCTAGGAAAAAAAACAAACCAAACAACAGCTTTTTAAATGCATGGCATCCCCGTGCAACCATTTTTTTTATTAGGCTGGTAAATGTTTGGATTCTCGCAACTTTGTATGTTGCAGATGTATAAAAAAGTTTAATTAAGGAAGAAAAACCCTGGTAGCCAGGTTGGGAAGGTAAAATCTGAAAGTGTTTCTTAACACGCAACTGCATGGCTGCCGATGCTAATTAACTGTGTTAAAAATAGCAGTTAACATTTCCAATTACAGAAGACTTTCACTTCTGAAGAACTATAAAGCTACATACTAATCAGCACTCAAGACCAGCTCCTCAGCTGTCAAGAAACCATATGTGAGTTATTCTTCACATATTCCCTAAATCTGGGGAGGGGGGGAAATGACTTCTAATTTAAAAGAAATAAACCTCACTTTGATAATGCCTGAGAGGATTCCAGAGAAGTTGTACAAGCAGCCAGGGATCAGGTTAGAAAAGCTGAAGGCCACATAGAGTTAAATCTGGCCAGGGGTGTTAAGGTCAACAAGAAAGCCTTCTATAGGTATGTCAGTGCCAAAAGGAAGACTAGGGAAAATGTGGGCACACTCAGGAAGGACACGGGAGACCTGGTCACCTGGAACATGGAGAAAGCTGAGGTACTCAATGATTTTTTTGCCTCAGTCTTCACTGCTAAGGGCTCTAACCACACCACCCAAGTCACAGAAAGCAAAAGTAGGGAGTGGGAGAATGAGGTACCACCCACTGTAGGAGAAGACCAGGTTCAAGACCAGCTGAGAAGCCTGGAGGTGCACAAGTCCATGGGACCTGATGGGATTCATCCGTGGGTCCTGAGGGAACTGGCGGATGAAGATGCCATGCCACTACCCATCACACTTGAGAAGTCGTGTCAGTCTGGTGAACTTAACACTGACTGGAAAAGGGGAAACATAACCCCCATTTTTAAAAAGGAAAAAAAAAGGAAGACCCGGGGGAAGACTAGGGAAAATGTGGGCACACTCAGGAAGGACACGGGAGACCTGGTCACCTGGAACATGGAGAAAGCTGAGGTACTCAATGATTTTTTTGCCTCAGTCTTCACTGCTAAGGGCTCTAACCACACCACCCAAGTCACAGAAAGCAAAAGTAGGGAGTGGGAGAATGAGGTACCACCCACTGTAGGAGAAGACCAGGTTCAAGACCAGCTGAGAAGCCTGGAGGTGCACAAGTCCATGGGACCTGATGGGATTCATCCGTGGGTCCTGAGGGAACTGGCGGATGAAGATGCCATGCCACTACCCATCACACTTGAGAAGTCGTGTCAGTCTGGTGAACTTAACACTGACTGGAAAAGGGGAAACATAACCCCCATTTTTAAAAAGGAAAAAAAAAGGAAGACCCGGGCAACTACAGGCTGGTCAGTCTAGCGTTGAGGAGGAAGTTGTAGACCCTAGGAAAAAAAACAAACCAAACAACAGCTTTTTAAATGCATGGCATCCCCGTGCAACCATTTTTTTTATTAGGCTGGTAAATGTTTGGATTCTCGCAACTTTGTATGTTGCAGATGTATAAAAAAGTTTAATTAAGGAAGAAAAACCCTGGTAGCCAGGTTGGGAAGGTAAAATCTGAAAGTGTTTCTTAACACGCAACTGCATGGCTGCCGATGCTAATTAACTGTGTTAAAAATAGCAGTTAACATTTCCAATTACAGAAGACTTTCACTTCTGAAGAACTATAAAGCTACATACTAATCAGCACTCAAGACCAGCTCCTCAGCTGTCAAGAAACCATATGTGAGTTATTCTTCACATATTCCCTAAATCTGGGGAGGGGGGGAAATGACTTCTAATTTAAAAGAAATAAACCTCACTTTGATAATGCCTGAGAGGATTCCAGAGAAGTTGTACAAGCAGCCAGGGATCAGGTTAGAAAAGCTGAAGGCCACATAGAGTTAAATCTGGCCAGGGGTGTTAAGGTCAACAAGAAAGCCTTCTATAGGTATGTCAGTGCCAAAAGGAAGACTAGGGAAAATGTGGGCACACTCAGGAAGGACACGGGAGACCTGGTCACCTGGAACATGGAGAAAGCTGAGGTACTCAATGATTTTTTTGCCTCAGTCTTCACTGCTAAGGGCTCTAACCACACCACCCAAGTCACAGAAAGCAAAAGTAGGGAGTGGGAGAATGAGGTACCACCCACTGTAGGAGAAGACCAGGTTCAAGACCAGCTGAGAAGCCTGGAGGTGCACAAGTCCATGGGACCTGATGGGATTCATCCGTGGGTCCTGAGGGAACTGGCGGATGAAGATGCCATGCCACTACCCATCACACTTGAGAAGTCGTGTCAGTCTAGTGAACTTAACACTGACTGGAAAAGGGGAAACATAACCCCCATTTTTAAAAAGGAAAAAAAAAGGAAGACCCGGGCAACTACAGGCTGGTCAGTCTCACCTCTGTGCCTGGCAAGATCATGGAGCAGATCCTCCTGGAAACTCTGCTAAGGCACATGAAAAATAAAGAGGTGATTGGTGACAGCCAACATGGCCTCAAAGGAGAAATCGTGCCTGACAAATTTGGTGGCCTTCTACGATGGTGCTACAGCATCACTGGATAAGGGGAGAGCAACAGACATCATTTACTGGACTTCAGCAAAGCCTTTGACACTGTCCTGCATGACGTCCTTATCTCTAAATTGAAGAGATTGGATGGATTTGATGGATTTGACAGATAGACTGCTTGGTGGGTAATGAACTGGCTGGACAGTCACGCTCAAAGAGTTGCCATCAACAGCTTGATGTCCAAGTGGCGACAAGACCAGCTGAGAAGCCTGGAGGTGCACAAGTCCATGGGACCTGATGGGATTCATCCGTGGGTCCTGAGGGAACTGGCGGATGAAGATGCCATGCCACTACCCATCACACTTGAGAAGTCGTGTCAGTCTGGTGAACTTAACACTGACTGGAAAAGGGGAAACATAACCCCCATTTTTAAAAAGGAAAAAAAAAGGAAGACCCGGGCAACTACAGGCTGGTCAGTCTCACCTCTGTGCCTGGCAAGATCATGGAGCAGATCCTCCTGGAAACTCTGCTAAGGCACATGAAAAATAAAGAGGTGATTGGTGACAGCCAACATGGCCTCAAAGGAGAAATCGTGCCTGACAAATTTGGTGGCCTTCTACGATGGTGCTACAGCATCACTGGATAAGGGGAGAGCAACAGACATCATTTACTGGACTTCAGCAAAGCCTTTGACACTGTCCTGCATGACGTCCTTATCTCTAAATTGAAGAGATTGGATGGATTTGATGGATTTGACAGATAGACTGCTTGGTGGGTAATGAACTGGCTGGACAGTCACGCTCAAAGAGTTGCCATCAACAGCTTGATGTCCAAGTGGCGACCAGTGACATCTTTGTCTGATGTGGTTGACACCCTAGAGGGAAGGGATGCCATCCAGAGGGACATGGAAAGGGCGGAGTAGTGGACCTGTGCAAACCACATGAAGTTCTACCAGACCAAGTGCAAGGTCCTACAGCTGGGTCAGGGAAAGATGAACTGGCTGGACAGTCACGCTCAAAGAGTTGCCATCAACAGCTTGATGTCCAAGTGGCGACCAGTGACATCTTTGTCTGATGTGGTTGACACCCTAGAGGGAAGGGATGCCATCCAGAGGGACATGGAAAGGGCGGAGTAGTGGACCTGTGCAAACCACATGAAGTTCTACCAGACCAAGTGCAAGGTCCTACAGCTGGGTCAGGGAAAGCCCAAGCACAAATACAGGCTGGATGGAGAATGGATGGAGAGCAGCCCTGAGAAGAAGGACTTGGGGGTGTTGGTGGATGAGAAGCTCAACATGAACTGGCAACATGCACTGGCAGCCCAGAAAGCCAACCCCATCCTGGGCTGCATCCCCAGCAGCATGGCCAGCAGGATGAGGAGGGGATTCTGCCCCTCTGCTCCACTGTGGGGAGACCCCCCCAAAGTGCTGCCTCCAGCTTGGGGGGTACCAACATCAGAAGGACATAGATCTGTTGGAGGGAGTCCAGAGGAGGCCATGAAGATGATCAGAGGGTTAGAGCACATCTCCTGTGAGGACAGGCTGAGAGAGTTGGGGGGGTTCAGCCTGGAGAAGAGAAGGCTCTAGGGAGAAAACAGAGCCCCTTCCAGTCCCTAAAGGGGCTCCAGGAGAGACGGGGAGGGACTCTGGATCAGGGAGAGAAGCGACAGGACGATTTTTTTTAATGTAAGCCCAGTGCTACACTGAATTAGGGCAACATCACTTCCCTAACTAAAATAGTTGAGCTGTTTGTACCACCTTCGTTCTGGAATTTTTTTTTTTAAATCATGAGCTTTATATAATGCCATCCGCACCAGCCCTGGCTGCTCTCAGTCGCATCATGACGAAGATGTGCAGAGCTAAGTGAGAAAGCCCACTTAAAAAACTAAGTAACATTCACCACGTTAAGCTTTAAAAATAATAATAATAAAAAAAAATAATCCAAATTTTCTACAGAGCTGCACAGGATTCCTGTACTTGTGCACAAAACTTCCATGCTTCTGATGTTACAGGGAACAAGCTACTGGTTAAATATTAATAACAACGATTCTAACAAAGCAGTGATTTCATCAAGCGGAGCTTCAAATGGACACGGTTTGTTGTGCTTCATATTACCTGCTAAATTTAATCAGCTACGTGAACAAAGAATGCACAATAAAGGAAACCCTCTGCCTGATGCTCTGTGTGCACAAGCCAGTTATTGGTTTTCATTCAGAAAGCCTTATTTGGAAGTTAAGGAGGAACACATTCATGAGGATCTGTCTGTGCTGTTAATGGGATAAATATAGATTTGCTGATTTTGAAGTATCTGAGATACAGAACCTCATTTTAAACACCTCCACTGGAAAATGGATCAGAAAGAGCAGAAATTGCCACGTACCAGCACCTCCAAAATGCTACTCAATACAGCTGAGTTGGCATCTCCTCGAAAAACTTGGCATAATCCCGTGCCACTTAACACAAAACATCACCGTTATGACCCAAAATGCTTCCCAGTTTCAGCAAGCCAGCAAGAAGAAAGTGGGAGGCCTACCTGTAACTTCTTCATGTTAACAGCATGTAAAAAAGCAAATTAATAACTAGTTGAGAAGATCCTTCCTCTAACGGATGAGGTATTTACCAGGAAGGGGCTCTGGGGAATTAATTCTCTCCCAGTATCTACCATTTCCATGTTAAAGCAAGGACAGGGCATCCAGAATGTTTAGATGTCTTCTGGACCTAATGTACTCCAAAAGAATACAAGCCTGTATATATTATTTGAGCTAGTATCCTCAAAAAATAGTACCATCTGTATATAAAAATATCCCAGACACACCGGGTGAGAATGAGAAAGACTTTGGACCACTAACCCCCTACATTAAGTGGCATGGTTAAAAAAAACACAACTAAACCAAACCAAAAAAAAACCCAAGCAAAAAACCCATGAAGAATTAAATTTCATTAAAATAAAGGACTATTGAATTATAGTTGTATAATGATTGCTTGATTCCAATGAAATGTGAAAAGGAAAAATTTCTGACAACTTCAAAGCACAGGCAATTCAAACGCATTTTTTACTGAATTAAAGAAAAAAAAAAGCAAAAGAAAAACACAACAAAGTCTTCAAGAACTACCATTCAACTAAGAGGATGCAGACAAAACTAATTACTGCAAAAAACCAAAAAACAAAACAGAGTTTTATTCAACTCCAGGCTGGGATTCATACCATGATTTAACAAAGACTCGGTAAGATGAGACTGGGCTGCATCTGAAGAAGAGCCTGGGCTGTTGGAGTTGCCATTGCTGGCGTGAAAAACAAGTCTATCAAAAAAAAGCAGTAATAACTGACTCGATGATAATTAAAGGAGGTGGGGGAAGTCTGGACAGACCAGGCCAGATATGAAAATACTTGGACTGAAATGCCTTCTCTCTTTAAGGGATGAGAAAACTCCGGCTCCTCTTGGACACGCACACAAGAGATGTCCAAGCCCAAGAACTGATTTGGAACCCACCCTTTGACCCAACGCCATGCTTCAAACCCCCTTCCCCAGCTCTTCAGAAGGTGGAAGCGGCGGCTGCTGCGCGCGGCGGTACCTTCAATGAGGTCCTCGATGGCTTTCCTCACTCCTCTGTCGAAGGCCCGAGCGTCGGCGGGGCTTTGGAAAGTGAGCCCGAACTTTCTGTTGTCGACTTTCCAGTGGTGGAAGGTGGGGTTCGCCTTGGTGTACACCAGGTCCTTCTTCACAAAGCACTCCAGCACCACCTGGGAGGGCACGAGCCCCAAAAGAGGAGCAAAGTCACTTTTCCCACCCCAAGGCCATGACAGGCGCCATCTTGGCCCAGCCCTGACGTAGGCTTCACGTAGGGGAACATCCTTCCCTACTAAAGAATGACTAATAAACACCAGACGCTGCCATTGTTCTCATAACCATCGCACATCCATCTTTTTTTCCCTCTGCTTTGAGTAGGTGACTCCTCACTACCCCAATTTTGGACCCAGACCTGGAGCAGGGAGGCACAGGTTCCAGCCAGTGGAGGCTCAGCTGGAGGGAGAACCTCTTCCCTCCATAATTTTGCTCCACACAGATTTTATTCCCCAGCAGATTTAGGAAGTGCTGTAACACTCCCCTCACCCTTTTTTTTCTCGCCCCCCTGCCAGGCACTTGTCTCAAACTCTGCCGTGCCAAAATCCATCCCTAGGGAAATGCTCAGCTTGTAAGTCTTACCTTGTCCTCCAAAACCATAAGCATGGCTCCAAAATAGTGTCAACAACAACAAAAAAAAGCTTCCTAAGCAAAACAGGATTGCAAGACAAACAGCAAGATAATTTCTGACTCAAATAATGCTTTTTTTTGTTTTGTTTTGCCCAAATGCTGAGTTGGCAGAGCCTGGGCAGGGAATGTATTTTTAAGGTAGCCCATGGCTTCACAGGAGCGAATTTCAGATGAATGAAATATATACAAAACGAGATAACAAACTGTAACATCTAAAGCGGACTCTGGAAATAGGGAAAGGGCTTTATTCATTTGATTTGTGCGGGGAAAAAAAGAGAGCTCCTTTTTAGATAAACAGCTAGCAGGAGAAAGCCGGTGCTTCAATTCATAAGAGACAACTTGTCTTCATGGGCTCACTCTGCTCGTTTCAAACCCTGAAGGGCACGCAGCATGAATAATTCATGGCCGTTTTAAAGGTTTGCACTGCGTTACTCAGTGCAATGTGACTGGCTTCATGGGTTCTTTACACTTCAATTCACTTCTCACCTACCTCTGCGAGGTCTTAGAAAAAAAAAAAAAAAAAAACCACAAAAAAAACCCCAAACTCCCAGGGCCTTTTTTCCATCATCAAAGGAGGTCTTTGCACACAGATGGATGTCAAAAATTTACCTGCTCCTTCCAGGTGGCAACATGACAACCTAGATAGCAACAGATGGCCATTCCAGATGAGGATGGGTTTGTTTTGTCCAATCTGGTACTATTTGCACATGCCTGTTTTTTATGTTTTAAATAAAAAAAAAAATCTTGCAGAAGAATACAATAGTGATAGATTTGGGATAATTCTCATTATAAGAACAGACAAAAGTTGAATTAGGTTCTATTACCAGTTTGTCTTTCTGCCTTTCACCATGGATTAGAAATCCACTTCTTCCATTGCCCTCCGGGTACGTGACCTTGCAGACGCCAACTCTACTGAGACCGCCTCCTTCTTGTGGCAACCATCCCCCACTGGAGTCATCTCGGGTCATAACCACAGCTTTGACTCGCACAATATAGCTGTCACTGCAATGTTAACAAAACAAAAACAAAACAAAACCTCTTGTGAGCATCACACCACCTTGCCAGGGTCTTTTTCTCAAGGGTGGTATTGAGGCAGCGCTTCTTCTGGTCCCAACACACAGTTTCTGCCCAGGATGGAAGTCCACCTCTGTGACGGATGATCTTAACTACTCAAGTCACCATAGGAAAGACACCCATCAAACAGCAAGGGATGGCCCTGTTGAGTGTCCAAATACCCACACACAGACCAAACAACACATGGTCCCAGACACCCTTTCCCTCATGCAGTTGGGGACAGGGATCAAAAGAGTGGGGTAGCCATGCAGCACCCCAATACCACCACCCACAGGGAATGTATTGGGGCATGAGGTCTCCAAAGTGTTGGCAGAACATGTGGAGCTCAAATAACCCATGAAAAAAGTGTTTTAAGTTGTTTGTGATCAAATTAGTGAAGTGGGCTTTGGAAGATCCATCTGCAACTGGGACAGCCTTATGGGAAAAAGACCTCACAAGTATGGCTCCAACTGGTACCTCAGATGAAAGGAGACAGAAATCATCTCAGCTGAAGTCATCAGGACCACACCACGTCCTGAGAGCAGTTCCACAAAGCTTTCAAGGGGCTTCAAAGGCGGCACATAACCTCTCAAGAAGCTATTCTAGAAGCACCTGAGATACACAGGATAATTCACGTGCCCATCACGAGGGTCAAAAGAGCCCCCACAGCAGGAGGCTCCATTTCCCCAAGCCCCTTCCCGTACCCTTTCCACAGAGCAGTTGCTCCAGCATCTGCTGGGGACAGCACCAGGCAGGGGGTCATTTGGGAGCAGAAAGGACACTACACAATGTAAGCAAAAGCATGGGACACTCAAGCTAAAATGGGTTGTCCCCACCCCAGAGCTACTGGGAAATACCAATTCCATTCTCACAACTGCTGCTGAGTCCCGGCTTGGTGGAACCTGTCACGCATTAGACATCCATTAACCCAGTGACCGATGGCTGTGACACCCTCACAAGGAGGTCACTGTGGCATGGTTAGATGTCAACCATACACAACCAAGGCAACGCCGGCGGCAGAGCTGCTGAGACACCCACCAGCACCTGCAAAGGTGCCGCAGGACACTCAAACCCAGGCAAAACTGGGAACATCAACCAGGCTAAGAAAAAGAACGTGCCAAGAAAATTGCCCAGGAATTGTCCACCTCCAGGCAACCAGGTGAGCTCCCCAGAAGAAAGCTCAACCTCTAGAGTGCTTCAAGAGGAGACCTTTCAAAGCGACAGGTATAATCCTTTAGGGAAAGAGAATTTCTATCCAAAATTACAAGCAGCAGTAGTTTTCTTCACCCTGCACCAGGTAAAACAGGCTCTCCTTTCCAGACTTTATTTTTGCATCACTTTTATAATCCAAGTGCCAATATTTGAAGTTCAAGTTCCCCTTTCTCTAACACAACCAGATTTTATTTAATACCCAAAGAAGCAGCCTCACAGATCCTACTTGAAGGCAGTTTTGAGGACAGACCAAAAGAGGCAGCAAAGCATCTTCTGGGACCAGCTAATCCCTCCTGCACAAAACACACCCTGCCATTTTCCTTTTGCCAGAGTTATTTTACAGGTGCACCAACTTTCTCAATGAACGTACGCAACGATGGCAGTAGATAGGCGCTCAAGGTTCACCCCCTATCGATCTGAGGACCTTGAGCTGGCTGATTAAAAGCTTTTCAGCATACTCAGATACGTGTCCCGTACTACAGCTGACACACACAAGGCGTCCACAGAACTGAGAAGCAACATTTTTAAGAATATTTTTGCTCTTGTGTTCTTAAAGCAGCATCCTGGTACAGGAAACAGGGCAAATATGTCTATAAACAGACCCAGTTACATTTCTTTTGGTTTTTTTTTTCCCCCTCTAATGAAAACCCATTTCTAGATTTTACCAGCGGCAACTTTATAATCTCTTGGCTTCCCGATACTCAGAATTAAGCAAAATATTTCAGCTAATTTCCTACTGGGCAAAAATCGAGCTGCTTATATCCAAGACGGGTTTTGATTTCTTCTCTGTACCCTTCCCCTATGGTCTGTAAGAATTAGCAATAAGACAAAGGTAGCAATAAGCATAAAAAGAAAAGCCAACTATACATTTCTATATAGTTCTCCTGACCCCCAAGGATCCCCTTCTGGACTTATTTTTAACTCTTCTCACTTCTAGGGAACTCTCCATTAAATTTCAAGTTTTCTTCCAAAGTCAGACCTGCTCAATGCAACCTTCTTCCCATCCTCCTGAAAATTGCCACCGGTAACACGGCTTCCCGTGGGATTTGCCATTCACTTTTACGGCAGCAGCTGGAACCCCCTGGCTGTCCCCAAAGTAACATTTTCTTCAGTTACTTTTCTGCAGGAATCGCCCGCTCGAAGGAAAATTAAGAAAGCAGCAGCTACTCGGTATTTGGTGATTTCTACCAACTATTTGTAGGTTTCCATCACCTCTCGGTGATTTCTCAAGGCTCCTGATTACGTTTGAAAACTAGGGGATGCCTACACATTAAATTTAGGTCTCTCAACTACTATCCCTGCCCATTATAATCACAATCTGATGGGGTACACAGCCATGTGGTTTTCATCTTCATACCCACAGCGACACCATGACCTATGGCTCTTCCAACCTCGGCCACCAAGGCCACCCATTTCACCCAACAGCTCTGCAACTAGATGTGGTACCTATGAGGGGGAGAGATGAGCGTTTCATTAACTCAAAACTGCTGGTTCTACTTTTGAGCGGTACTTTTTTGGAAGTCAGCATCCCTCTAAGAGGATGGCTCTTGGAGATGGGTGAGAAGATGGACAGGATTTAGACCAGGGCATACAACAGTTGTCATCTGCCCACATCCAAGATGCTACTGGGATGCCCAAGGGTCAGGGACTGGGGGGTAAGGGCGTGGGAAACAAGCTGGAATAGCAGGTTTTTTGACCCAAACAGAGCAATCTGGTAATTTGCTTTAATGGAAAGTGGATTTATTGACGGTGGAGAACAATCTGCTAGCTTTTCAAGCATATGTGGTGGAGGACAAACTTAAAGGAACCTGAGCACAAAGTGCAAGATGTTAAAATTTTACTCCTTTCCCCAGTATTCACTGCATTTGTCCGTCAGCCCCAAATACCCAGGAAAACACAATATATACTGCATTTCTCCCAATCTGAAGAGCCACCTACCTCCTTAAGTATATCAAGCCAGAAGAGCTAGTTTCCAGCCCCTGGAGAGCCCTGTCCCCACTCCCACCTGGAGCCACATGCAGCCTACCCTGAGGGATTTAGGAGAAAGATAGAAAGACAGAAGGAAAAACAGAAAAGCAGAAAGAAGGTGATTAATGTTTCTTAGGGCTCCACAGCTTGGTTTAGTCACCAGACTAGGACTCAGGAACTATACCTTGAATTTGCAAGGCTACACACCGCTTCCTTCCGTTTCCTAAATCAAAATCTTCCATCCACAAGCCTAGAATAGGGAATGCTTCTTTCCCTCATGCCAGTGTTGATAAATACTTGGGAAGTACTCAAGTATTTCAGGTCCATATAAGGACCTTGCTTCCTTAGCATAAAAGCTGTTTATTTTCTTTGCTATTTAATATCAGGCTCTGGCTGGTGGCGAGGGCTCAGAATCCTCCGGCGCGAAGGAGCAATCCGCAAATGCCACACACGTGTCACCGCTTCGGCGTACCGAGGTTTTGGGAGTGAAAACAAGCCTGGTCAAGTCACATTTACCATGGGACCTCTGCAATTCCACTGCTCCAGGAGAAAGGGTTAATGAGGTACGTGAAGATGTTTGGGCCCTTCTCCATTAATGAGATACCTGATTGAGGTTAGACAACGCGAGCCTTTCACGCAGTTAAAAATGAAACAGCTGAAAAAAAACCCCAACCCTGCAGTAGCCTTAGTTTTTATTTTTTATTGGCTTCTTAAAACTTTTAAGACTGCTCTAATTATCAGGTTTACGGCTTGCGTGCGACGCGTTCCACGCAAATTATGCTCTGAAACAGGATGCTCTGCTATCTTAACCCTACGGATTTGTCTTCAACGGCCTGAAAAAGCTTGGGAAGGAAAGGTTCTGCAGGGATTACCCAGCTGCATGGCACCCGGCCAGCGCGTCCCAGGGCTGCTGCAGGTTATGTGAGCTCACCCCACCCAGGGTGAAAACCCCTAACGAACTTGGGGAGCAAAGGGAAGGGCAAAAACCGTAATGAACTCGGGGAGGAGCAGAAAACCACGTGTTTTTATTGGAAGGAAAAGAGCTTTAAAAATTATAGCTTGTGGGTGTGCATATAGATATATATAAATATCTATTAAAAAATAAATTAAAAAGAAGAATGCGTGTGTATTAATTGCTACTCTGAAGGATATAGAGATTTTTCCTGACCCAGAAGTGACTACTTCTGTGAGAAATGAAACCACTGTTGCATTACTATAGAATAACTTTTATAAAGCATTTCTGTCTAAGAGACAGGTGATGTTTAAGGAGGATAAAAAAAGTGCTTTGCTCCAGCAGGCATGAACCACATTGTAAAAAGCAGCCAACCCCATCCAGCCTTCTCCAACACGAGCCCCACGGCTTACGGCACCCATGAAACCCCAGTGGAACCAGTGGGGGACAAAGTCCTGCAATCTCGTACGCCCAACCATGGGCTTACAGCTGCCATCACACATCCAGGACTCCATGGCAAATAATTCATAGCATCATCAAATCATTCAGGTTGGAAAAGACCCTTGGGATCATCGAGTCCAACCATCGACCCCACTCTACAAAGTTCTCCCCTACACCCTATCCCCCAACACCACATCTAAATGACTTTGAAAAACATTCAGGGATGGTGACTCCACCACCTCCCTGGGCAGCCCATTCCAGTCTCTGACCACTCTTTCTGCAAAGACTTGTTTCCTAATGTCCAGTCTAAACCTACCCTGTTGCAGCTTGAAGCCATTCACTCTTCTTCTATCACTACCAGTGAGAAGAGACCAGCACCAACCTCTCTACAAGGTCCTTTCAAGTAGTTGTAGAGAGTGATGAGGTCTCCTCTCAGCCTTCTCCTCCTCAAACTAAACAGTCCCAGCTCCTTCACTCTTTCTTCGTAACGTTTATTCTCCAGGCCCTTCACCAGCTTCGTTGCCCTCCTCTGCACCCGCTCCACCACCTCCATATCTCTCTTGTGTTGAGGTGCCCAAAACTGGACATGATATTCAAGGTATCATGTTCATACTGGCCCCACCAGTGCTGAGTACAGGGGGACAATCACCTCCCTACTTCTGCTTGTCACACTATTTCTAACATAAGCCAGGATAATAACCATTCCTTTGTAAGTTAAGGCTTTAATTTTGCCCATGTCTTCATAAAAGGAGGGTTGAACCATGAGCTCCCTTCCCCGAGCCACTCTTCTTTTCCACTTCACTTCAAACGCGACTGCAAATACGATCTGAGATGTCTAAAAATCCTAAGGAAGAATAAAACAAGCAAAAAAAAAAAGTAGCCCAACCCACCACATTTACTAATTTCTTTTGAGTCACATTTAGCATCTAAACCAGTTCTCAGCCACCTTGCATAATTCAAGAATATTTTTTCCTCTAGCCAGGCTAGTTGACCAAAATCCAAACTTTCAGGTTAATGCAGCCACAGGGCACTTCAGCATTTCTCTCACCACCTTGACTTTGCAGGTTATGAGGCCAGGAGAGGTTCAGGTCTCTGACAGAAAGGTAATTGCACGGAATGGGCTTCTGAAGTACAGACTGCTGTCCTCAAGGAATCTCCATTCCCAGGTCCCAGATTTCTGGGAAGAGCCACAAGGACAGCAGGAGGTTGCTGGTGGGAAGAGGTCGGGCTCTTCAGCTGAACTGAACTACAGACACCGGTTGCTTAAACACAATTTAAACCACCTGGATCCATGCAAATTTAACTTTACAACTACAGGGGCATCACCTTGTCTTTGGCTGGACATATTTCAGGACACTCTTATTTTGCCGCCTTGTCCCTGTCCCAGCACCTCTGACAGCTGGAGTTAAAGCCCCCCTGTTCTCCCTAGGTGATTGCTGGAAATTATATGGCAAGGATATAACTCTTTGGAATTCATCCCGCAGCTGGAAAGTGGCGGCATTTGAATGGAAGTCATGAAAAACTGCTATTTCTGGAGTCCTGCTTTCTTGATCCCATACTCTGTTTACGGACCTTCTAGCAAAGGTGAAGCATCTGCAGATTACAACCAGCATTTTCTTCTTCAAAACCCTAACTCAGGACTTCGTTAGAAAGAAAGCTTCTGGGCGCACGGAGCCACGACAAAATAAAGTCAATGTTTTGATACCATTTAGATTTCCAGCAGGTATGAAACTTTTCAGGGGGACAATCACCTCAAAAAAAAAAAGAAGAAAAAAGAAAAAAAAAAGAAGAAAAAAAAAAAAAGAAAAAGAAGAATGAAAAGGAAAATGATTTACTACTCACGGCCGTATTAAAGCATCTACATAATACACTGCTGAAACCGTGTTAGAGCTATTGAAACCCACACCAAAAGTTGTTAGAAAAACACCCCCAAAGTTTTCTAAAGATTTTTTCTAAAGGCAGCCGTGACACCGCTGGGATGAGAGAAGACTCATCTGAACAACAAAACTTTTCACAAGCATTTCCTGAAACCTCTTCAATAAATATCACAGCGAAGCCCCTTCTCGCTGGCGAAAAAACCACCCTAAAAACACCACAAAAGATTTCTCTTCAAAATTGTTCAACGGATCAATTCTGCAATAAAGCATTCTACCTGCACAGGTCAGTGTGCCTTGGAAAACTGTAAGGAGCAGCAAAACAAACTAATAAACAAAAATTCAGTTTAATAATATAAAGCATTTACACCATTTATCCTGCAGCTCGTGAAGCCGGCCGGCGGTCCAGCCAAGAATGACACACTCGAGTCCTCCTATTCTCCTGCAGGGGTACAAAAATATGACCAGATTTCAAGGAAAGCTAATTAGTACTATCATTTACTTACTGTAATGAGAAAGGAAGTTGTTATTGCGTGACAGATGGTATTTGTTTTACATCAGAGGCAAGATAAGCAAAAAATCGCTTAGCCAGCCAAACAGGTAGTTGCAGGAGATCTGCATCCTGAATTGATTCCCCACCCCCCGGAAAAAAAGACACAACCAAGTTCTATCCTCATTTTTTCCTGAGGTACACTGACCCTGTTCCTCTTATCCTATGCTACCTAACGAACGGTAATATTTAGCAAAAAGAAGAAAACAAGCACAGTGACTGCATCCCAGCTTTGCAAGGTTTATGGCTCTCCGTTCTTTTGTGTAAAAATGAAAAATAAGAGATTTGATACCAAAAATTACGGAGGAACGTAGTGGAGAAATCTGTTCAGTTCACAGGACAAAGCTATTTCCCCATCCAAGGAGTTTTTGCTGTCACTCCATAGGCACGGTGGCCGTGATGCCACCAAAAGCACTGCCCAGACCAGAAACCCCGTTTCTGCCCTAAAATATCCCATTTTGCAGATGAAGTGCAGCCCTGTCACAGCGCAAGCGAAAAGAACACAAGGGGTCCTTCTCTTCAGCTACAGAATCAACGATACGCCGGGACAAAAAAAGTAAAATTCTGTATGTACACACACACATCTACACAGCATTTCTGAAAAAAAATAATCAAAGTTTACAAAAGAAAAGAAAAGAAAAAAACAACCCAGAAATCGCTCACCCTGAGCATTTTTTCCTTCACTCTCCTCCGTTTAGATGAGTGCAGAATGCAACTCTATTTATCCCCCCCCGTAAACATCCTCTGTGACACGTATGTTACCACTACAAAGGGCAGACAATATTTTTTAAATATAATTAAAAAAAAAAATAAAAAATTTCTGTGACTCAATTCCAGCTGAATCTATATCAGAGAAGGTGGTGGGGAGTAAGCAGGGTAACTGTGGTCTAAACCTAAAGGGTTTTTATCTTTTGCCAGGTAAATGCATTAAAAAGAAAAAGAAATAGAATAAAAGACAACATTCTTAACTACATCAAAAACCAACGTGCCCACTGAGTTTGCCTTCTACCTCTTCTTTTACGCCCCCCAGCCCCAATAAGTATCCACGGGGAGGGACATCAAGGGAAGTAGATTCATCTCTTTTCCTCTCGGTATTTACGAGAGGGTGCACATTAAACCATCACTTCTGAGAAGAAAAAAAAAAAATATCATAAAAATTTAAATGTAATCATAAAAGAGAGCCTGCGTTTCACAGAAGAAGTCATACATATTCCCGGAGAAATTATATGCTGGTTTAGAAGATACAGAAGGGCTGTGGGGGCAGATTGGGGGGGGGGGGGGGGGGGGGGGGAAAAAAAAAAAAAAGAGCAGGACAATTTTGTTGAGAGGCCAGCAGGCAGAAGTAAAGCTGTAATTGTGCACACAGTTGAAAGGATTATTGTTTCTGACACGGGTAATCCTTCGTCTTTTACTTCTTGGCCTGCCCAATGG